TGACAGATTGTGTGTTCACGGCCTCAAATAACTACATAAAACATTTTACTGAAAGAAGTTTACTATGCTTCTATATTCAATGCATTTTTATTTTGTATTTTTGTGTGTGTGCCTGCTTTGCTAGGTGTTCATAAATAATATCAGTAGAACTTTTTCAGAGAACTGGTAAAGATAAATTACTTGATTTTGTTATCCAGGAAAGGAAACAGCTACTGTTTCTTTATATTATCTTTAGGATATGGATGTTCTTAATAACAGTTACACAATGGTTAATAGAATGCACACATAAACACACACAAATATAAATTCAATAATGAGATTATAGTGTGTTATAGTTAATATATTTGAAATTCCCGATATTTTAGAAATATATTCCCTTTCTTCTGTTTTTATTATGATTTATCAAATAATACAGAAAATAAAATGATAGAAACTCATGTGTTTATCACTCAGATTAAACCGATGCTAATATTTTGGTCCCATTTATGTCATGATTTCAGGACACAGAATGCTTCAGGCAGACTTTATAGTCTTTCCCCAACTTCCCACCCAACTTCTTTTCCACAGTCAACAGAGATAGGAACTCTCCTACATTAGGTGAAACTTTGTATTCAGTGATTTCACATTTTCTCAACGTTTTATATCCTTTCCATTCATATGTTTATATCTTGGCTACTTATATTAAGGTATTTTTATACTCTCTTTACCATACTTATTTGGAAGTCATACATTATAGTTCTATTATTTTAGAAGTTAGTAGGCACATTTTGACCTAACAGCATTTAAAGTTAACCACTATCTTTCTTCTGCACAACACACAGAACGTTAAAAAGTTTGATTCACATTGCCCTCCCTAATGGTCAATGTGATTGCTGTTAAACATATTCATGTCAATTTGTATATTTACCTTCCCCATTGTGTAAATATTTTTAGGATGTCAATAATATGGCAGAATAGGAGATATTAGCTTTCATTTTCCCTAAAAACAAGTAGGCAGATATTAATGTCCACAGATGCCAATAGTCTGGGGAGGGTTCATATACGCAATTAAGAACTTACAGCAACACAGTGCAGAAAAAATAGAGCAACAACACAGAAAAGATCACTGGCGAGATCAGCATACCTGGAACATATCAGCCACACAGCAGCTGCCACCAACGTCCCCGTTGGCCTGCTCTACTGAGAATGCTGGTGAGGACCTCAACAGCCACTGATGCAGCTGAGACTTCCTGCAGCTTTTTTTAAAGGAAATCCCTTTAGTGTTCATCCACACAAACCCCAGCAGTTGCCTCTGAAGACAATACTGGCAGCTTTAGCTATTAAGTATTCTAAAAGAAAAATGCGAATCAAAACCACAGGGGGATGTCACCTTATACTTGTTAGGATGGCTTTTATTAAAAAGTCAAGGTAACAAATATTAATAAGGATGTTCCACAAAGGGAATTCTTTACTTTGTTGGTGGAAATGTAAATTGAAATAGCCATTATGGAAAACAGTATGAAGGGTCCTCAAAAAATTATAAACAGAGCTACCATATGATCCAGTAATTTCATTTCTAGGTATATAGCAAGTTCTCAATGTCATCGATAGGTTCTTGGAAACTGACTTTCAGCAAAGAGAGGTATAATGAAATCATTTTTTTCTTCTCATCAGCATTATAATGAAAAAATGTCTAACAAAACATTATTCAAAGACCTACTGTACCTCAATTGTCTTAAAGTCACTGTTTCCAAGAACCTATCAACAATATTAAGTGAGGACTTACTGTATACCCAAAGGAAATGAAGTCAGTATGCCAAAGAGATAGCTGTACTTGCTGTCATGTTTATTATAGCATTATTCACAAATGCCAAAATATGAAGACGATCCACACGTCCATCAACGAGTGACTAAAGGAAAGAAAATATGACATATATGAACACACACACACACACACTCTCACAGGAATATTACTGTACTTTAAAAGGAATGAAGTCTTGTATTTGTAACATATATGAATCTGGAGGACATTATGCTAAGCCAAATAAACCCAACACAGAAAGACAAATACTACACAGAAAGACAAATGATTTCACTTATATATAAAATATTTTTAAAAGTTGAAGTTATAGAAATAGAAAGTAGAAGGGTGATTACCAGGGTTTGGGGCATGGGGGTAATGGGAGATACTGGTCAGGGAGTACAAACTTGCAGTTATAAGGTGAATAAGTTCTGTAACCTTAATGTAAATATAAAAACATACATTTAAAATTTCCTAAAGAGTTGAAAGAAATGAGCAAAGCCTCCCATAAATATAGGATTAAGTGAAAAGACCTAATGTACATTTGATAAGTGATCATAAGTATTTCTCACCACACTCACACATGCTTACAAAGGCAGTTGTGAAGTAATGCATATGTTAATTAGCTTGACTGTAGTAACTATTTCACTGTGTATCAAAGCATCACATTGTGCACCTTATTGTATACAATCTTTATTTATCAAATATACCTCAACAAAGCTGAAAGTATTGTTTTAAAGTTAATACTTTCTTAGGTAGAACAAAAATCACTTTGCTCATATTTTCTTCCTGTTTCATACTTTGTTTCTAAGTCCAGTCTTCTTATTAAAATATTTCTTTTTGTATTCCTTTCATCCTGACTGGCAAACTTGGGCTGTCTGAAAATGACATTTTTCTTTTTCCCTCAAGTTCTTTAAACTGCCTAAGTTGACAGCTGATTTTTCTTCAACACTTTAAAGATATTATTCCATATTCCTTTGTCCTCTTGATGTTTAAGAGAAGTATGCCTTCAGTCTAATTATTCCTCCTCTGTGGGAAATCTGAGTCTTTCTGTAATTGTTTAGGAAATGCTATATTTGATTTTCATATTCAGAAATTTTGGTATGATGTATCTAGATATTAGTTATGTTTATTTATACTGCTCAGAATTCAGATTGCTTTTGAGGCCTTGTGTCTTTTATAAATTCCAGAAACTTCTAGCACCATCTTCTAAACATTGCTTCTTTCACATGCTTTCTGTTCTCATCATCTGATGATAATAATATTAAATATATGTTAAATATTTGTTTTAAATCTTTATATCTCTCAAAGTTACTTTCCTACTTTTCATCTCATTGTTGATTTGTTGTGCATCCTGATAAATGCTTTAGATTTATTTTCTATACACGACATTACTAATTGTGTCTAATGCATGGTCTAAACTGTCCACTGAGGGTATATGATTAATGATAGTATTTTGTATTTTGGAAGGTTGTTTGTCTCTTTTCAAATATCTGTTCTTGTTTCGTAATGACCTATTACTTTTTGGTGGTTTCTATTTTTTAATCCACTAAATTATTAAAATGTATCATATGATAGATTGTCTAGATTTTCATATTGTCTATTCTATGTGTGCTAATTATTTTTTGTATCAATGTCATGTTACACTTTCATAATGGATCATTTATTTGTGTGGTTTGTGTTTTTTATTGTAAATTTAGTTGTTTTTGTTTCCTGTTTCGCCAGAGTAGGACCTTTCACCCAGAGTTTTGGAAGTATCACTCCAGAACAGTTTTACATTTGTTTCTGCTTAGGTTAAGGCATCTTGCTCATCTTTAGGCCATTTTTTAATATTCACATCCTGTCACAGGTTTTATGACATTTACATGGCGTAGCTTCCAAGCCTGAGCTCATGCTTGACTAGGCTTGGGATTTTGATTTCTCTTGAGAAATATCCCACTGTCCTTCTCTACCCAAGTTCTGAGCTAAGGCAGTTTTCTTACTACTTTTTTGGCTAAGGATGAACTTTTTCTAACTCCCCTTGTGAAAGGGAAACATGCTGTGGAGCAACCAGACTTAAGGTAAGATCTTAGTTCTCATGTCTGTCCTAAGTATTAACGAGGCCACGTCTTTCTGTACCATCTATGTGGGTGTGAAAGCATCGTCCTTTCATGCCCAAAGTCTACCTGGCATCAGATAACCCAGGGGTAGTGTATCATCTATGTTGTGCTTGCTATATTGACTTTGAACTCTGGTGTTTTTCTTGTCTAGTGAGTTTACTTTTTAACTTTGAATTTCATTGTAAACTTATTTTCTTTGTGTATTATATTTTACCTAGAATGTGGACTATTGCTATTTGAATCAGAAGATAATTAATGTCAGCTCAGTCTATGATCTTGCTCAAAGTTGAAAATCTTATGAACATCATTTCCTGTCAGTAAGCATTCATTTGCAACACCAGTTTAATGATTAAATACTATTCCTGAAATATATCACTAATTCTTAAAATGAAGGTTACACACAATTACCTAAAATAATTTTTTTTACTAAAAATTACAATGTAAATATGGGTGAATTGGAATCTGAGTCTTAACTGAAACAAAAGAAACAAATGCCATGTTTATGGTTTGCATTTTAACACACTTTCGCATGTAGTTCTTAAACGCACTCATTTCAGACCACAGATTAAATGTGTCATGCTTATTTAAACACATTTTTCATTGTTGAACTTTCAAACTACGTGTCTTTTAATTTTTATAACACTACAGTGCAGAACATCTTTATTTGTAAATACTCATATACCATAATTTCTTTGGAACACATTATAAAAAGATAAATTCAAAGAATATGCCTAGTTTAAAGAATTTTAATATATATTTTTAACTCCGATTATATTATCAGTTTATAATCTATAGCAAGACTAAGGAAATCCCTGTTTTGACAAGCATTCTGAATTAGTTAGTATTACTTTGTTCTTATATTTTATTTAAAACATGACATTTTATTTTTTTAATTGTCACGGTTTCTTTCATAAATAGAATTGAATAGTTTTTCTCTAATTTTTGACACACTTTATTTATTATATAAAGATGTTTAAATTTATGTCTTTTACCCTTTTTGGCAATAGAGTATTTATTTTTAATTAACGTTTTATGCAATCTGTCATAAAAAAATGTTATGAACCCTTTGTTCGTCATATGTGTGAAGCTGGCTCATTGCTAATCCTAGGGGTGGACTCCCACTGCATGGAAAATAGCAAAGAACATCACTATGCCAACCGCAAGGAATGGGAGTCTAAATACTTCAGCCCACTGAATTTTAGGATACAGTTTCTATCATTTGCACAAGTCCAAAGAGTCAGAACACTTGCATATAACAAGGTAAGCAACTTAACTACTTACAAATAGGCAGAGAGGGACCGTAGAAGTCTATGATTTAGGGCAAGTTGTTTGCCCAAGGCTCAAGAAAGTTGCCCAGGGCAAATAGAATCTCGTTTGCATATGCCCTCATTGTACTGCATCTGAGGAGCTCCAGAAAGCAATCCATCCTGGGTTTTATACCTCAGGGTCACTATAACATTCTGTGCTAAAGGGCTAAAGAATATCCTATTCTAAGAGGGAAGGAAAAGAGCCAAGGCAGTTCTGGTTACTTCCTCCTTATGGAATGTTACATTCCCAAAGTATTCTGCAATCGTTCTTGAGAATTACAACTGAGAAAAGGGTAGTAATTGTGACAGTCCAAGGCTACCTGGAGAATTATTCTGTAATATTTTTCTTTCTTTCTTTCGTTCTGTTTTATTTTATTTTATTTTTTTTTTAGAGATGGGGTTTCACCATGTTAGCCAGGATGTTCTTGATCTCCTGACCTGGTGATCCGCCCACCTCGGCCTCCCAAAGGGCTGGGATTACAGGCATGAACCACCACACCCAGCCTCTGTAATATTTTTAATAAAAATTCCCTTTGTTTTTTATTTATTCTTTATTTGATCATGATGTTTCATGCTGCACAATATTATTTTTGTATAATTAAGTTTTTCATTGCATTTGGCTTTGTTTGTATGTTTAAAAAGGGCTTTCCACTTGAAAACTATATAAATATTTACCTATGTTTTATTTTAGCACTCTTATTGTTTTCTGTAATCCATTACACTTTCAATGAATTTGAAGTTTTCTTAATGTATGGCTTAATGACCAAATATATTATTATTTGATTTCCTGTGGTTAACAATTTTCTGTAGTTCACACTTTTTGAAATAATCTAACATTTTTTCTGTTGGATTGAAATTTTGTATTTATCAAATTATAAATTCTTTCTGAATTCTATGTTCTGTTTTAATTTCATATTTCTCTTTATTCTCAAATTATGGTGTCAAATAAAGTCCAGAACATATAGAGCTAGTCTTTGTTTGGTCTTTAGTGCTTGTAGGTGAGGCAGAGCTGAGCCTCCAGGAATGCGAGAGTATTATCTCAAAAAGCTAGTAGTAGCTACTGTGCAAAGCTTGAAAGTCTGAGTCAAATCCTGGGCATATCCATGGATGTGTGGAAGGCATGGGCTTCAGCTCTTGGGAAAAAAACAGGGATAGAAACTGGTTTGATAAGACAACTAAGCAAAAGAGAAATTGACAACAAAGCAAAAGCAGAAGGGTCTGGTAGGAGAAGGTAGGGTAGGTGAAAAATAGGAATCTTCCTCTTTGTTCTGCTGCCAAATAAGAGCAGAGGCATGTGATTCTAGCAAAGGACAAAAGTAAGTAGCAGCTACTTGGATCTAATGTGGGAAATATCAGACTACTCCAGGGCTGATCAACTGGCATTGTCAGGTAGTGGAAGGCTGGTCATAAGAATGGAGAAAAACTGTTCCAATTTCTGTGCAGCTTGTGTCCCAGACTCTAATACTTCCTCATGATTGGCCTTCTTCAGGCTTTCATAATCCATGATGACTTTTGTTAGTGATGAGTGAGAAGGCAAAGACTCAAAGTCCACAGTGCCATGGAATTCTAACTCTGATGCTGTGCTCACAAAACAGCATCCATCTCCAGCTCCTGCATCAGATGAGTCCCTGCCAGTCTCCAAAGTTGTGACCCACTGCCATTACACAGGTGTCTTTCTGTATCTCTCGCTGCTTCCCCATTTGTATCTAGGAATTGGGTGCCTTCTGCCTCATTGTCCAGTTGTAGGCATCAGACATGGCAGGAAAATGAACTCCAAACCTTTTATCATTGGGCCCTGTAAGAGAGTTCTGACCAAGTAGCTTGATGTGATCACAGAGAACCATGATCTTTCCAACCTCAGACTTGGGGTTGAGCGTGTCCTGCATTGGTGGCCACCAAAGTGTTCCCACCCAGGAGCTGGAAAACCCTCATGCAAAAATGTCATGTTCCAGAGCAAGTACCCATCATACAAGAGAAACCTGCCTTGCATCATCACACAGGCGGTGCCATTCAGGAACCCAATCACCAGTCGACCAGCATGACCTGGCACTGTACTTTGGAAAAAGTGGAGCATCTCTCTGTGGTCAAAGATTTGGGCCTGAATTAATTTGTCAGTCAGATCTCCTAATTCAGACCCACAGGTCACTGTCACTTGAGAATTACAACTGAGAAAAGGGTAGGAATTGGATCTGTCCAAGGCCACCTGGAGAATGAGTGCTGTGTTCAGTACTTGGTGAGAGACATAAGCCATTCTGTAGTGCTCTAATATTCTTCATATAGGTATCCATTTTCCATGTTCCAGCTGACAGCCTCTCAATGAACCTGCTCTTTTCTGCTTGATCTACTGAGCAGACCTGTGGTGACCTCAGCTGACCTGTGGTCACCGGGTCTGGTCGGTACAGTTAGTTTGAACTCTGTGTTCTAAGTCATTGTTCTGCCTATTAATCTACCTTTATTATACCTTAAGAATTGTGTAATTGTATAACTCTTAATATTTTAGTGTAAATTTCACTTAGCTATTTTTCTTTTTGAAGAAAAATTTTTAATAATGTGTCTAGATGACTTTATACTCATTGTTTCAAGTTCCAAAAAAAAAAAATCTCAAAAAACTGATTGGAAACAATTTATCAATTATTTTGGGGAAAATAGACTTTTAACAATATAAAGTTTTCTTATCAAGAGTATGGTTTATCTCTTCATTTACATTCCCTTAGTAACATTTTGCTTTATCTCCTCTTTCTTATTTTTTGTTTTGTTATTTATAATTATGTGTTAACCTGAATTTAAAAAGGTATCAATGCTCTCTTGATTGGGATTGTTTTCCATTAAATTGCTAATCCAAAATAGAATTTGATAGAAGCCACTGATATGGCTGTTCTTAAATTCTCATTAAAATATGCCTGAAGTAACAGAAAGAAGCAAAAACTCAAAGCAACATGGGAACAAAGACCGACAGCCTGATGCCAGAATCTGGGAGGAATTGTCACTAATTATAAGGTAGATGGAACAGTAACGAGGAATACTTTTAAAGGTGTGGCATATGATATTCTCTGACTTTGAGTCAAGAAATAGACACCTTCTGAAAAGATGTAGGAGGCTTGATGGAATTGACAATATAAATATTAAAACTTCTATAGACATTTTATGCCTCACTTTCTATCTATTCCTGCCTCAAAGATGCTGAGTCTGTACCAGTCAGAACTCTAGGCATTCATCCGCCCATCTTTGCCTCTGGCAGATAGGGAGCTGTGCCATCTCTTACAGCTCTCATTTCCTTATTGCTTTACCCCCTGCTCAAATTTCATCTAGTTAAAGGTCTACAGTAGTAAAAATAACTTTCCCTGTGTGTATGTGGGTGTCTGTGTAGGTATGTGTCTGATTGTGTGTGTGTTTTGGGGTTGTAAAAATGCCTAGCAATGGTACCATTTTGGGAGACACCGTCCACATGAGTGAAGTGTCATTAATATGGGTAGTAAAACCAAACATACACAAACAGACACACACACACACACACACATACACACACACACACACACACACACAGGCATCCTTTTCAGGGCATAATGAAAAAGGAATTTTTTCTGTGCTATGCAAGTGCTTTTTTAAAAAACTGCTCTCGCTGTAATGGAGTTTTGAGAATAATAAAATTAAGAGCTTCAATATATCATTTAAAATTAGAATAATTCAATGCATTGAAGTCTAAAAACTAAGCCCTTTAAAAACAGACTATGTTGATAAACTAGAAAAATCAGTAATTGGACACTTTCATACTGGATTATCTATGACACGATTGCATTTAGAAACATAACATATTTTTCATTCCTAAATGCAATGAAGGAAGGTAGCAAAAAAGTTAGAGCAAATAGTCTATCTTTTCCAAATAAATTCAACCACTACTAACAGCCACCATAGTCACTTAAAAAAAATTTTTAATATTGTCTTCTTAAAATGCAGTAGTCAAATGCATATTTAGAAAGAGTGGGAAGTATTATTATACTTGATTTTTATAGGAACAAGATACTAACAAGGCTGAAAAACAAAATGTTTTTCAGGTGGAAAGGTACTTTTAAAATATCCAGTCTCTCTATCCTATCCTCACTCAAAAAGGCACAAACATAAACATCAATTTGGGGAGTTTGGGGTTGAAAGGCATTCTAAGAGTTTTATAGGGTCCAGGACTTAATGGTAGTTTCACAGGCACATGGGTGGTTCTTCTATCAAATGAAAAAACATCACATATTCCATCTGATGCCATCTGATTTTCTCTGAAAGAGAGAGTCTATCTGGTGAGCTATGCAGTGGCTGTAGTGAACACTGCCATAGTGGCTGGAAAGCTGGTTCACCAGGCTCTATTTAGGTTTGTTATTAGCGAAGACACATATGCTTGTTTTTGCGGTAGAAAATACACACTTTCTGAAGTCTTCTCATTGGAGCACCAGGAAACTGATGCACTAGAGCATGAAGATTTGAAGCAATCTTTGTCATATTAATTTTTTGAAACTTCATGTCTTTTATTGATATCAGTCACACAGGGCATTCTCTAGCTCTTTTTTCTTGAAAAAGATGAAACAATCCAAAATAAATATCTTACTCAAGTAAATATTTTCTTAGAGATGGCAGGGATAGGCCACAAAATATCCCTCAAAGATTAAGAAGGAATACTCACAGGGTTGGCAATAGAGGCAACTTTGCAACGAGTGCACTGATAGAGTCACATTCCTGATGTCATTGCATTCCAGATTAATGTTGGGTCAAGTAATTATGACTTATCACATGCTTAGCAAAATCCTTCATTGATGCTTGAGATAGGACTGGATCACAGGAATTTGGTAGTCTCAATGGTTGATTTCTAGATGTAGCTATCCAGTAAGAACTTTGAAAATTTAAGCATGTTCCCAGCTTTTTTCTAGAGACGAGGAGATATAATTCTGGAAGACAGCTTGGAAACAAGTA